AAAATTAATTTTTAAAATTAGCTTTCATGTAGGTATATTTTTACTTAAGTGATTTTGAACTAGCTTCCTCCAGGATTGGATAAATGTGCTTGAACCATATTTCAGGCTCTTACTTCCCATCTTGCTACCTCGAAAACCTGGTGACCAGAGGCTGAAAAGTGATATGCTTGCTCAGCCAGTTCATTTTATTTCATATAATGGTACCATTGAATTTGGAAGGGCTGTTTGTTCAACAAGATGTTCTTGCTCATATACCTTCACTGTTCCACAGACAAAACCACCAAGCCCCAAATGTGCTACAGGCAGTATGATGTTTGCTCTTTCCAGCATGCTGTGGGGTTTCTCTTGCATGTAAATTTGTTGAAAAGGTTTTCCGTAAGAAATTTATATCCATGGACATGGACTTTGAAGTAGGATTTGGAAATTTGGTATGGCTGCTTTCCCTTTAAAATTCCACTCAAATTTCACAGCTATGGTAGACTTCTAAAAGCAGTATACTCACTATTTTTCAAACTCTTTCTAGCTTACAGCAACTCTGGCTAAATTTTCTAGTGTCAGTCATGAGGCTGTTAACTGAAGCATCTTCTAGGCTGCCATCTGGGCCTGCAGCATAGTTTTTTGTGTGCATAGATTTCTAACAAAAACCCTTTTGTTTAGCACTATCGTTTACGTGAAAATGAATAATTCTGCTTCTGAAACCTCTCCCATCTATGGTTAATGGAGCCATCAGCTGGCCGTAAACTCTCTGACACTGCATACAGAGACATGTTGCTAGGACAACCTGCTTTTCCCCTTCTCCCCTTTGCTCCCACCCCAAATCAGATGCTGAAGGTTATTGCCCCTGTGGGTTTTTTTTCCTGATTTAACTGTTTGTCTGTTACCACCCTAGCTCATGTCTGTGACATGATCTGAATTTACAGGAACTTTAAAACAAGTTCTGTTTCATAAATTGGGGTAAAGGTATGATTTGCTGAACAGTTAACGCCGCAGAAGTAAAGCGCTGGAGGACACAAAAGAGCAGGAAAAAAGTAACTGGAAGGTGGAGTGAATGGAGAAGTATTTAACCCATAGTCTGTACCAGTGAGTCCTTGTATGATCATGTACTTAATTGCAATTGAATTACTTCAACTGTTATGTTGCTTTAATTGAAGTTACTTTCCAAACTTATGTTCCTTAAATACATATAACTTTGCATTTAAAATGCACACCTGAGTTAGAGATGTCTAATAGCACAAAGATTTGCCATTTGCACCCTTCTGTTTCGAAAAACTGTGGTAAGTCAATTTTCATTTAAAGGTAAAGCCCTTCTGAGCATCCTGTCTTCCTGCAATTGCAGATTTCCCACGTGCCAAGCTTTCCTATCTGTTTCTGGGGCAAAAGCTGCGGTGCTTATTCAGCTATGGATTTGTCAGGGTACTGGATGTTTATAGCCACATCAGGAATGCCCTTCATCTACCTCTGGTGTCTTATTCTGCTGTAAAATTTCTAATTCACACCAAAGGACTGAACGTTACTTTCCCCCCTTCCTCAAAACAAAGGGCAATTTTCAAATTTTGGCATATTTCCCCAACTGTAACAAGTAACAAGGTGCTTTCAGGAGGAAGAGATAATTTAAGATAAAGTAATTGAGCTGAAAACTGGTGAGGCAGTGGGGGCAAAGGGGGAATGAACTGAAGGAACAGAGTGCAGGGAGAGTCAAGTGCCAGGAAAGTTTTTCGCTTCGAAAGAGGAGACAGGTGAGGGAATGCATTGCATGTGGCCCTGGAGCTGGAGGAACTGGAACTACTGAGAAGGGAAGCAGGATCTAGATATAAGTGGGAAGACGAGAAAAAGGAATCCACAGCCTGAGTATGGTTTCCTCCTCAAAGTGAGTCAGTCTGACTTGAGCTTTGCCACTGCAAGTCCCTCCTGTCTGTCTGTCCTGCTCATGGCTGTTGGTTCCTGCCCTCTGCCCTGCACTAGCAGGGTAGCCCTTCCCTCCCGCCACAGGATGAGGCTTAAATCAGCTCAACTTAGATATTCTGACTGTTCCCTGGGGCCCGCCGATGGCAGAAAATTTACAGTTCTCTGGGTTAGCTAGGTGATTAGTGTATTCATGTAATTCAGATTTTTCTTTTCCCAGATTGGGTGCTGATGTTCTGAGTTAATAGTATATGAAGATCCTGAATTTAATCTTAACACTTACAAAAATTCCCAGATAAATCTGGATTTAATATGTAACTAGTGACAAGTGCTGTGAGGCTCTGTACTTTTGAATTTGCTCATGCTTCTTGTAGTCATTGTAGTAGGTGAAGTTCTAATAAAGTGAAGGTGGAGTTGTGCGAATAATTTATTCAATAGTTTTGTTCTTGATAGCATTTCTCTGGAAGATGCCATCAAGAATGACACTAAACATTTTGAAAAACGAATCCATTAATAATTGAGCATTTTGGATAACTATAAAATAAATATTTAAGTAAATTAAGTATGTTTTTTGAGTAGCATATCATGCTGATGAAGAAATGGAAGAAATAGTAACACAGTGAGGTCACCCGCATAAATTAATAATTATCATTAACTTCACTCCCATCTCTGATAGAGGTTTTGTAGTTCCCCTTTTAAAAAAGGGAGAGATGAATTTGGAACTGACACAGAAATTCAGTAAGTCATGAAAGAGGCTGTGTCCACATTACCAAGCAGTGTGGTGTAATAGGATCAGATCTGTCAGGTGCTGAGAACCTGGCATCCACGCTATACAGGTTGTGAGGGTTTTATTTCAAGCTGGTCCTCGTCTGATTCTGTGGCTGAATTCCTGTTAGTGGTTGGAGCGTGTACAATGCACACCTGAAGCTCATTCTCTGATCTAGTTTTATTTAAAAGAAATCTGGTTCGTGTACTTGAAGACTGCTTTGCAATGTAAAGCAAAGCAAGGAAAATGGGGTTGCTTGGGAGATTGACTTCAAAAGCGCAGTCCTGATTTGAATTAAAATGCTAATGTAGACATACCTAGAGTCGTGCAGATCAGGAAGTTCACTAAAATAATTTTGTTTGGTAAGAGAGCTTGGATATCTGATGCATGGGAGTGGGATCAGGAAATGCAATGAATGCTCACAGAAATAAACAGTTATGAAGAATTTCATCAATTTGGGAGTTTGGAAAAAATATCAAGAAGACGTAGTTTTAAAAACAAACAAACAAAAAAGATCAGCATTGTTCAGATATGCCTTTACCCTTGTAAAGCAGCCTCTCTAAATAATACAAAGTGGCCTTTGTATAAATCAGATACTAGATACAGGGGCATTGGAGGTGGTGTAAAAACAGAAAGCACACCAACCTTTTTCTGTTTATAGTCGTTTCTTTTGGAGTCCAACAGAAGATGAACTCAGGTTCCTTGGTTATCGACAGAAAGAGATGGATATATTTTGCAGATTCTTTACCACCTTACTTTCAAAAAGCAAAAACAATCTCCACAAACACTTTTGCATGGCAAGAATATTTTTTCAGTTTGACCATGGAAGAAATAACAGTCAAGTGTCAGCCTGTCTGCTCAGTGGAGACAGTTGTCTTTAAGAACTGGTGCTATCTGATATTCAGAATGGTTTCAGGTTACCATTTTACACAAATTTATTATTTATTACCAAGACTATTAAACCACAGTGTGTGAGGAACAGTGCTCATAAATTGACATGGAGACAGAAGTATTCTGACCTTCTTGGAATGGTAAAGGTCTTTATGGTGCTTAGAAAGGAAAAGAGAAGGAAAGTGGATGTTGAAACTCTTCCTCTGCTGGCAATCGTGCAGGCCCATGGTTTCTCCATCCCTATTCCCAGTACTGTTGGTGTTGGCATTCAAAAATAAGTCACTAAATATCTACACTGTAACACTGATTGTATGTTTTTAACAGTATAGCTGGATTACTGGTGTTTGAGCCCTTGTGTTACTTGCAAGGTTATGTTTGCAGTCATAAGACTGGGACTTCTAAATGATAAAATTCTTGTATGATCTTTTTGAAAGCTTCAGATGATGGAAACATTCAAAAATTGTGACAGTGTGGTAAAATGGGAAGAGTTGGCAATAGGTGGCATACGCTCAAGATGGAATCTAAGTAGTAAAGCTGATAAGCCCAACTTAGCTATCCACAATGCATTTGAAAACCTTTGGACTTGGCACAAGCCAGGCTTGCTCGCAATTGTTAGACTGCCAGGTAAGAAAGAGCCTGCGCCGTGCTTTCCTCTAATGCTTGGATGTACGCCAGTTCAAAAACACAAAAAAAAAATGAAACCCACCCTATTGCCAGTACTTTTTTCCAAATTCTTGGCTTGCTTTTTCTTCCCAGGAGTAATCATGCCTGTGTGCAGCTACAATAAACTTATTGATTATTTCTCAGTGTGTTGCAGTTCCTTGTGTACTGGAACTAATGGGGTGACACCAATGGATTTTTGTTGTGAAGCTGCAGTCTTACAGATTCTCTGGTATTTAATAAAGATTGACTTGTGCATTGTTTGTTTGGTTTTTCTATTGGTGTCACCAACAATGCGTCCTTCCTCCAGACTAATGCCTCTTTAAAAAAAAAAAAAAAAAAAAATATTGGAGAAACCTGGTATCTGGAGGCTTGCAAACCTGGCTGGTATAGACCAGGTGAATCTGAGTTATTGGGAGAGGTCAGAAAGACTTATTTTCATAGGAAAACTATCTACAGAGATTTTTAACACCCTTCCTCCCTGACATCACTGTTCATGAGTGAATAATTTAATGATATAATATAAATAAAATTAATTTGAAATGCTTTTTAGTGTTAGTATTTTACAAATATACTGCAACCATACAACTATTAGAAATGCAGGATCTAAGGAGTTTTTTCTACCTAGGAGCAGTTTACAATAGCAGATGGCTTCTGTAATTCCAGATACCAGTATCTGCAATGTGCAGTTCATATTATATACTATAAACTGCCAATACAACTTCTTCAGATATCTCTTAAGTCAAATTCTCTTCCTGTTTTACAGATTAATAGAAATATGCATTTCCATAATATCACCGTTGAACTAATGAAGTGGAAGTACAGATGAAAACAGTCTGGAGGAAGCTTGAAGTACAATACAGTTCCATTCAGTTTCCTAATTCTAAGGTAAGGTTAAATGCATGCAAAATTTTATTTCAAGTATTTCAGGGGTAAAAAGCATATGATAAGCAGCCACCATATCTTTCTTACAAAAATTTCTGAGCCTTCTTTTTTTTATGCTAGAGACAGTCTTTAATACCATACTGAAATGGCTGTTTGATCTACTCTCTGTCCATGTTTCAGTTATGAAAAAAGACAAAACAGCATCAACTACGGAGACATCTGTTATAGAAAGATACATTGGAAAAAAGTTACCATTTCAGACAAATTTTATTTGGTACAATCTGTCTGGTCATGGTTATTACTAATGCTTTAGTTGAAATAAAGGACTGGTAACACAATTAAGTGACATGCCTGTTGGGCATCTTGTCTTCTGGCACAGTGTTTGATTGGTACAAAATGTTATTATGCTAGTTTTTTATTATTACTGCTATTAATAAAACGTTATGGGGTGTTTTTCATACTAAATTCCACTGCCTGGATATCTTAAAGGCATTCCTGTGATTGATTATGAGTGATGGGGGTGTTTGGTTCATAGTTGGCTGCTTTTTTTTTCCTTTATGTAACTAAGAGGCTAAGTAGAATAATCCTGAAATGTCAGATTTCTGACATATTTCAGAATTCTCTTCTACAACATTAAATCTGTTTAAAAAACAGATAGTGAGCACTAGCCCTCCTACATCTAGCTTCTCACTGTCCCAGTTTTGCTTAACTGGAGCTGAGGCAATGCCCACATACAGTGTTTTTTAAGCTGTGATGCGGTTGGCCCTTCTCACTTTTTCCCATTTGGGTAGAAATGGGGTCTCTGTAACAGGTGGGGCAGCTTCAGAGACTAACACTAGCAGGTTTCACCAGTCGTTATCTGCTCGTTCTCAAAGGAAGTTTGCATCTCAGATTATGTTATCTTGCAGATTTTGGCCACTGTTACAAACAGATGTTGAACCCCTTTTCAAGAAAACGGAAACTTTACTTACAAACAGGACTGTGCCTCTTTCACTTACAGAGATCAGCCAAGGAATCTTAACATACATTTGACATTCATACATTTGACTGGCAGAGAGAAGCATGTATCCTCTTTTGGAGGTCAAATTTTAGAGAGACGGCTCCAAGGGAAAGATCGGCATTGAATTCAGCTAACCCATATTTTATCTTTACCTGACTTATTGCTCAAAACCTGTAACTTTCTGCACACCGTAAGCAAATTCACAAAGCTATGAAGTTGGAACTCGTGTTGACACGTGCAAAATTTGTAGTCAATCTACAGTACTTCAGGTGAGGAAGATCGTAATCTGGTCTACATGCTGAACGCATGTCTTGATGTATGTTAGTTTCTTTCACCTTCCTATTTTATTCATGTTATTTTTTGCCTGACAAGACAAGAAGACAGGCGCGTACTATTTCTTCTCATTCAATCACATACTCCTAAAAGGATGTTGGATAATCCAAAGGCCAGTTGTACTATGCATCTTGCAAAGAAAGCAACAGCTAGCATAGATTTAACATACTTATGTACTACTCAAAAGTAAAGGACTTGGAGTCAGTGCTGAAAATTATGGACTTTGCACTGACACAAAACCAAGAACTAATTTCCTCCCTTTTTCTCCCTGAGGAGGGGAGCAGATGACTTCTCCTCCAATGAGAGAGACAGTTGAACAATAAATAACGGTTCTCAAATTGTTTATCAGTAGAGGACTCTGCAGATGAGGCACTGTCTTGAAAGGTCACTCTTTTGTCTACCAGAAAGAACAGTTTCTATTCTCAGGCTTGTAATTACAAGCAAATTTCAAAATTGAGGTTAAGTGTTTGGGGAACATGTTCATGCTAATAGACGACTGTGTACTTTAAGAGCTATTTGTAGCATTAAATAGGTTCATTAGCCTAGATGGTCTGCAGTGGACACTAGAACCACATCAGCCATTTAGAAGAGCAATCGATATGCTAAAGTGAAAGGATAATCTGTGTTTAGGTAAATCTTAGGGGTTTATAGGATCAGAGAATTGTAGAGGGTAGAGAATGGGTCGTCATAAAACAGTTCTTGCATCACTCTGCCCTCTGTTCTCAATGATCCTGCTCCCAAAGCATTTAGAGCTGATGCAGTATTTAGAGAAGTAGTGCTGTAAACTTTATTAATGAAAAATCTCACTCCTTTCACATAAGAGATTTGAAGGAAGGGTAATGCTTGGAGGTGCCATGTATAGGTGAGCTCTCTGAATAAAGAGTACCAGTACATGCTAATTAGTATGTCTTCGAGATACCATCTGTATTTCCCTCTTCAGTGTCTTTCAGTTGCAATCCTGAATTGAAATGAACTGGAAAATGGCTGGATGCCCTTCTGTTACACAGGCAAAGCAAGAAGGGCTTTTTGCGCTGATACTTACTATTTTGCTGATATGGCTGGGCAAAAGCTTTCCGGCGTCAAGTGGCAGGGCATAAGCATGTACAGTTGGATTGAAAACTCTGGATGCAGTATTATTTTAAAAAGGGAAAACCAAACCAAATCAAACACACACACACACCCCCAACCACCTGCACAAGTTACCTTTTTTCCCCCTTCTTGTCCACTGTCTTTTTAAATAGTAATAGTATTAGCAACAATTGAGGGAGGGAGGTTGTCTTATGCTTTCCCTGTATGTATGTAAATAGCTGATCTGGCAAAAAATAAAATGGCAACACCACTCCACCACAAAATTTCCCTATCTTGACACAGCTTGTCCTGTTTTTACTAAGGATTACGGGCTTGTAAGTCAAGAAGCACACAAATGGCAAGAAGAAGGGAGCTTATCAGAACCAAATAAAAACAAGTCCTTTTGCTAATCATTTCTGTTCCTATGTATCTTCTACCTCCTGTCTTCATACCTTTATACTTGAATTTCAATAGCAAGGTGACAAAGACAAAAAAATAAGGTTACCAAGGCCAAAAGAGGGAAAAACTGTAAGTACCAGATGTGGACAGAGTACATTGTCCCAGGTGTTGATCAGACATTTTATGTACTTCCTGAGTGAGAGATCAGTGGTATTGTATTTCATAGCCTGACCTGGTATCAGGTATATTTTTTGAGCCCATTTATGATTTTGATGTCCACAAAACCCTGTGAGTGCTTTAGTTTTAAATGTTTGGTTTATACAAAAGGTGCATTTTGTTTGCATCCAAAACTGCTGCCTGATCATTTATTTGTTAGTTCCTAAGTGGTGTAGAGAGAGAAATTGTGATTAAATCTCTCTGATTATCTCCTTCATGTTAAGGTTCAATGAAGAGTATCATACATCTCTGACAGTTCTCAAGAAGGTTTATTTTAATCTTTCTTTAATATGGCATCTCTCTGTAATACGGCCCTTCATTGTACTTTTGCTAGTTCTACTCTATTTTTTTGAGACTGTGAAATTTTCTTACATCTTACTTACTAGGGTAAATGTCTGTCTTTTAATTTCAACCGTGAATGTGCGCAAGTCTTCAGGATTTCTAGTGTGTAACTGGAGAAATACAGCTTAGTATATTACACCTAATCAGTATGGCTATGTATGCTTAATTACCTTCTGCAACAGGTCTCCTGTATCATGTTGTGTCTTCATTTAAGATAAAGATTTTGGTTGTATGATTACTTTGTTTTCTTTGGAGTATTGAAAACTGGACTTGGATGACTTACCACCCCCCCACCCCCTCCCCCTGCATTAAAATGTAAAACACTCCCTTAGTTTGACTTGCCTGCAGCAAGGCATCAACTAGAAGGAGATTAAAGGCCTCTAATGTACAACTGCTGAACTAATTGCTTTAGTTGACAGTTTAGGAATAAGTTCCTACTTTTCTAGTGTCCGTAGAGTTGTCATCTTTGTCTCCTCCCAAACCGGTGGTGGTAGAACCATCTCTTCTCGTGTGATGGAGCTTGTTCATTCAGTAGCTAGGAACACATGCCAAGTGTTTCAGAACAAAATCTGCCAGTGACAAGATGGTGTTCCTGCAATGGTGTTCTTTTTAACCATCAAGACTGGATAAAGCCTCCTCCGTTCAGTTAGGAGGCAATTATTCTGTAAGGTTGGGTTAGCTGCCACTGAACTTCCTTGGCAGCAAACTATTTGCTAGGAGTTAATTCCATAACAAACAGGCAGAGCCACTTCAGGCTCAAACCACAAATGGGAAATGCAGGTCAGTGTGCTCAAAGCATTTTCCAGGAGCGGAGTAACCAGAAGTCCGTGTCGTCTTTTGAATCAGTTGATCAAAACAGGAAGTGCCAGTGATTCCACTCTGGAGCTGCTCTGTTACGCGTCGTGCTGTCACACGTTTTGCTGGTCCTTCGACCAGTATCCTCCTGACAGTGCTTTCCCTGCTTCCATCTGGGCTGGCTTAGCCCAGGTTGTTCCAGTAGTGTGACCGTCTCGATCTCAGCGTAAAAAAAGAGCCTTCCCTGTTGCTAGGCCAAGACTGTCAGGTTCAGGAAGGTCGAGTTAAGCTGTCCGAGAATTCCTTCATTTCACAGTTTTTATGTTGGCTCTGTCTGGCTCAGAAACTCCTGTTGAAAGTGTAGTGGGTAACATATCTCAAAGAAATCCAGGCAAATTTCTATGTAGTAAGAGCAGACTATATTTTGTATCTTATTTCCGTATCTGAGGATGGGAATTTTATGGGATAGGATAGAGAACTAATTCAAGAACTTATGGTGAGAAAAGTGTACAGGGAATGCGTTCACAGTACAGTCTGAAAATGTTTGTATTGATAGGAATGTGTTTTACAGTCAGATTATTGTAACGTGGCTATGTAATTAGAAACATACCAGATTTTCTTTTTTGCTTATTTGTTGACTGAATGTTTAGATTAAGAATGGTAAGATGTGGTTATTTACTAAACATTAATACAGGGATTGTTTTTGTTTTCATTTCAAGAATTGCTTTTCTCCCCCCCCCCCTTTTTTTTCCCTTGAGGCAAAACCAAGCAGATAAACATTTCTTTCTGATGGTACTATTTTGAACCAGTCCTAAAAAGTCAGTTATGGACTAGGTTCCCCTGAGCTAGA